AAATAACACATTAATTGTGATAACCAAATAGGATCATTTCTGATGCCTAAAATGTATTTATTGACTGGTTCAATATAGAAAGTTAAGGGGGAGGAAGATGCTTTGAAAATCAAGTTCAGCACCTTAAAAATAACTTCATACCTTCAAGTGTCATGGAAAACTTACTACCACATTAATTATGAATGAAGAAAATACAAAAGTTCTAGAGAAATGATCATAAAAATTTAAAACTCTGTCACGTTCAGATTACTTGCTGGAAGGGTCTTTAAATGTTTACTTTGAAGAAGCCTAAACTGGCTTCTCTATTACATGTGAGCTTTGTGAATAGAAGACTACTGTATACTGTAACTCACATGGCAACGGTTTAACTCTTTTGAAAGACCTCGCAATGACAAAAATAAAAGATAGACATGTATTTATATGTTTTAAACATGTGTCATTTTTGAAGCTTCCACACGTAATTTATTCATGGACCAGTTACCAGCTGACCGCATGACTACATTTCCTTTGCCAACAATTAGTGCTGCTGACCTGTGAAACCCACTAGTAGTTGCCGGGACAAAGTCAGGAAGGTACAAGAGTGAAGTTTCCTAAGACAGAGTTTTCATTTCAACCCTACGGCTGCTATAGGTGTTTACCTTTGAGCAAGTTTGCTTTACCGCTTGATTGATTTCTCATTTCACATTACAAATAAAGACAGCTTACACATATACCGAAGATAGAACAAATTAGCATGCATTTCAAGACTTTTGGAAAATTAACACTGACTCAGTTTCATTCTCTATGAAATCCTGGAGTGTTGTGAAGAATAAATATGATACATTCTAAAGAAAGCAAGCATACAGCAGTGCCACATCTGACCAGCAGAAATGTAATCTTGTGCTAATTATGAAATTATTGTGGATTTTTCTTTTTCTAAAACATTTTCCTATAAATGTTAATTAATTCCACACACTGACAATGTGGATCAGATACTACAAGGTATTATTATCTCCCATTTACATAGTACAACACTGAAGCAGATGTGCAATGTCTAAACCACATTCTCTCAGAAGGCTAATGCAAACCTATGTTGAAATCATTAAATTATGATCATATTCTTGGCCTATTTTTCTCATCAAGTCTTGCAATTCTCCTAGACATCTGAGAAAGTCTTTTTTGTTTGTTTCATTATTATACTCTAATGTTATTCTTTAAAGGTTTACAAATATTCACTAGAAAATACAATGCTTTAATTTCATAATAATACATTGAAAATATAATGTAGAAAGAGAAATAAATTTCTTGTGAATGCAACTGAGCAACAAGGAATTTTTGTCCTTAGAGCCCATGGTTATAAAGACTGAGACTGAAAATTAGATTCCCTCAGCCTGGTTTGCTTCTTCAATCTGATAACACCTCCAGAAAGCAAACCATTGAGACTATGATTGGATTTGCAGAAACACAACCAGGGGCTGAGAAGTCAGGGAATTTGTAGATAGGCCCTAATACTTAACAGAATCGCATCACTGTGCTGGAACATTGAAAAGAAACTTCCTGATGTACAAACTTTTTCAATTAGTTGTATCTCACACTGCAGTCAAAGTTCTTAGTCAAACCAATTTGGCAATCATTCTATAGATAAATTTTGCTTATAGAGACACACCCTTTGAATTATCAAGACTGCTGTCAATGGACATACTATTTTACATGTTTTGTTACTATGAGTATAGCTTCTGTGAAACTCATATACAATGCAAAGATGCATTTTCAGTCTTTTGAAAAAATAACTAGGAATATAATTGTTCAACTAAAACTGGTGTATATTTGCTTTTATTAGAAACTGTCAAATACAGTTTTCCAAATTATTGTACCACTTAACGTTCTGATCAGCAATGTATTCATACTCAGAGCACCATTTCTATTTTTGGATGCTTTATTTTTAGTGATTCTAAATATGATGTTGTTATATCATTTTTAAGCAGATTTATGTATTCTTATTGGAAAGGCAGATTCACAGAGAGGAGACATAAAGAGAAGGATGTATCTGCTGGCACATTGCCCACGTGGTCGCAACACTCAGGGCTAAGCCGATCCAGCGCCAGCAGCCAGGAACTTCTTCCGTTTCTCCCATGTAGGTGCAGAAGTCCCAAGACTGTGAGCCATCCTCTACTGCTTTCCCAGACCACAATCAGGGAGTTAGGATTAGAACCAGCTCTCATATGGGATCCCGGTGCATTCAAGACAGGGACTTTAGCCGGTAGGCCACCATGCTGGCCCTGAACAGGTACTTTACAAGGGCTAATATATAAATGGCCAAAAAACAAACGAAAAATGCTTGGGATGTTTAACCATCAGAGAAATGCAAATGCAAACTACACTGAGGTTTTACTACACCCCAAGTTAAAATGGCTATCATCTGAAAATCAAAGAATAATGAATGCTGACAAGGACATAGAGAAAAAATACCCTAATCTGCTGTTAGTGTGAGTGCAAACTAATATAATCACTATGGAGGACAGTACAGAGGTTCTTCAGACTTGACAATATACCTGCCCAGCCATTCCACTCCTTGGAGTTTATTCAAGTGAAATGAAATCAGCATATGAGTCATTCGTACACCCATGTTTATAGCAGCTCTATTCACATTTGCTAAGATACAAAATCAGCCAGTTGTTTATTAATTGAGCATTGCATAAAGGAAACGTGGCATATGGAACACTATGCAATCATAAAATAAATAAAATCCAGTTTCTTGTAATAAAATAAATACAACTGGAAACCACTATGCTTAGAGAACTAAGCCAGTCCAAAAAAAGACAAATATATGCTTTCCATGATACTGGGTAACTAATACACAGAGCACAAGAAGTATACTCTACATGAGTGCTATTGACATTGTAAAGTGGTTTGATTACTGTTTACAGCTTTTGTCTATATTCTCGATGAGCTGGTTTTTTTTGTTTGTCTATTAGTTTTTTTTTACTTTTTGCTTAATTCTTAGCTTAGTTAAGCCTGTGGTTACAAAGTGAACTGAAAGTACATCATTTTAAAAATTAAGAAAAAGAAATAAGGAAGGAAGATGACAGGAGTAAGAAAGGAAGATGGGTGGAGAACATGAACAGAAGGGAGGGTGGGGTGTGAAGTCTTGCTACACTTCTAAATCTATATCGTAAAATATGTAAAATTTGTTCACTTTATACATATATATGTATATATGTAAATAAATGATTCAGAATATAAAAAATTATGACATCTTCTAATCTGTAAATGTATCTCAAATATTGAAGGCTTCTGTAATTTTTTGCATTGTAGTATTCACTGCTGAAATATTTTGTAAAAGTGTATTGCATGTTCACTTTTTGGTAGTACTGTGTATTATTTTATTTTCTCATTGTTACTTGTACATTACATATGTAATTTTAGTAGAATGACTTTGCATCTAACAATTTGCTAGCTTTTCTTATTAGTTCATAGTTTATAGATTTCTTTGGCTTTTCTACAACCTAACAACATTATTTACAAATAATGACCTTTAATCTTCCCAATCTCTATTACTTTTTTTGTCTTACCTCCATCACAGTGTTCTATTGAAATAATGAAACTGAATAATCATTCATTGTTCTTGATAGGAAAACAGTCAATTTTTTAGCTATAGATGTTCATATTCAGAGAGTATATGAATGTTCAGTTCTATCCCAACAGTCAGTCAATACCAAAAGACAGCATGAAACCATGGTTTGGTTTTCAGCATTTTAAGGGAAAGTCTGTTTGTTTCTCTCAGCTCTAAAATAGACTTATTGAAGGTAAGAAGGGGCCCCTGTGAAGTTTCAAGGACTAGTCATTTCTTCTACCACTAGAAACCCAAACTCGGATTTACAATGTGGGCAGCTGCTGCAATGTCTACTTAATTCATTGGCTTTCTCGCTTTGTCTTTCCCCAGGAAAAGACACCTTTTCTGTAACCTCAGGATACCATCTGTGCTATTTCATTTGAGAGCAGTGTAGTTCAGCTCATCAGACATGCAAAGCCCGTGAAACCATGTGGTCTGGTCTCACCAAGAAAACTGCAGGTGGAACTCCAAAACCCACAAATCTGTAGCAGGCCAGTTTTTAAGTGGTAATTTTGTATGTCCCATGAATGATGCTATATTGCATAAAGGGCCCTTGTCAGAAAGAAGTTTTCCCAGCCTGCTACTTGAAAGACTGCCATTTTGCTCTTTGGTGCACTAGTTTTCAAGTCCCCTTCATGTCTCTGATTAAACATCACTTGCTCATCGAGGTATTTTTAAACCATATTTTAACTCATGGCAGTTGGTCCTCCAGATACACATTCTCACTGCACTGCATGTGCGGCATTGATAAGGCTTATCGTCTCATATTTATATATTGACTACATTGTTAATGCTATCCACGGCGAGTTCAAACTACACCGAGTCCTTGTTTCAACAGCAAGAATACAATTGTCACCTTTTTAAAGGACTTTTTGTGACCAGGGTAAAAGAGCAAATACTTAACAAATAAATCTAGGCACGTCTTCCAGCTGCTTTTGTGTTATTCTTCCCACCAAAACATCTGTTTGATAGCAGTAAGGATCTATCGCCAAGAGCATCATCATCAGCACTGCACTTCTGCTTTAAAACAAGCATGAGGGTCGAGGTCACGGTGTGGATTTTCCCCTGTTTAAAATTCTGTCCTCTCTAGACATGGTTATGTATCTAGAGAATTATATTAATTCATTCTGGATGATGGGTGGCATTATAATAGGTATATTGTGTCTTCAGAAAAATCAAACTCATTTAGGAAATAAGACTTTCATTATCTCGAAAATGTTCGGTACTCCATTGATTCCAACTGCACACCGTGATCTAACATAGCACTTGACACACAGCAGTTGTCAAGTTAACATTTATTTAACACATCAGTGGAAATGGTTACAGCAAAAAATTCAAAATAAAATGAATTATAATAAACAAATTTTATTAGTCAATACATAAACATGATGTTTCTTGCTTAAAAAAAAAGAAAGAAAAACATGTAAACCAAATTATTGTCTTTCATAAAATGAAACTTAGTTTGGGTAGAAACTAGCCGGCACAGTTCTTACACCGCTGAAGGCCATTCTCATTGCAAGCCGTACACTTCAGGGCTTTGAAGGAATCTGTAAAGCAGTTTCGAAACACTGACATCTTGCTCCCGTGGCACATGGAGCATGGAAGAAAACCAAAGCCTCCGCAGGAGGGACATTCGTGTGGATGCTGCACTCTCTGGATAGGGGGATAGGGGAGCAAGAGGAAAGACCATGGGTCAGCAAGAGCAACTCAGTCCTGCCATCTTTCTATAAGGTGAGTGGCCCTAAAACAATTTTGGCATGATATGGCTATGTGCTTAAAATCTTCTGCCATTTAAAAATATTAGATGCTGGTGGGCGGGGGAGGGGGGCACCACCCTACTGGTGGCCATCTCTAGCACCATCTTGGTGTGTAAAGCCTGGTAACTCAAGCTAAAAAGCACACATCTTGAAGAAATCTTTCACATGAAGACGTGTATTTGTAAACCAGATAATTCAGGAGATGGTTATTTACATTAAAAGGAAGTAGTTTAAAGTTCCCTTCAGCATGTCTTAGCCGTTTTACATCTTTGTTTGTAGAACAGTACCACTAATGGCAAGTCCGAAAAACCAGAAAACAAAAGCTGAAATGTGGAGGAATCACTATGAATTGAAGGCCCATTGTTACACTGTGCACTTGAACAACATTTTATCTAAGACTCTCAAAGGTATTATTATATAAAATTATCCCCAACTCAAACACTCCATACACATATGCATCTCCTTCAATAAATACATAATTTAAGTCACATCATCCTCCTTTTGTATTTAAGAAACCATGAGACATTCATACAAGCCCATAGAACTTCCCACCGAAGCTACGACCTTTTCTACCTTAAGCAAATGTAAAATCACTAATAACAGACAGAAAGTTACTAGGCAGTTTGTTCAAAACCACATTTAGAAAATCAGTTCTCCACATTCTTCCTTCCTCTTTGGAGCACATAATCTTTACTGAGGTCTGCCAGCGGCATCCACCAAGCTCAGCGAGATCAGGAGCCATTCACATACAGTGGGAACAAAGGAACAGAGTGAATACATCAAGGCAACATAGGAGCTGGCAGCAATGTTCAAAAAGAGAATAATTCTAAAATAAGGCTGGGAAATGTGATCTATATACACATACAGTTAAATACAAAAACAAATAGAACAGTGAAATTCACAGTCAGACAAAGGCATAAAATGCACTTCCAAATCCACGCATAAGACTTTGCTCTGGAGACACATCATTGTACATATTAAAGCTTCCAAAAATGTGCAACTGAAAAGAATCGGATTAACTGGGTTTAACCCACCATTTCTCTAGCATGTGAGAATGTTTCCCTAGGAAACAAATACCATTCTCTCATAATTAGTAACCTGTGGAATATACTTTGGGAACCAAGTATTAAGGATGTGATTGCCTTAAAATGTTTATATTCCCAAATCACTTTTGAGATAGACATTTTCTGTAACCAACAAGATTTACTGGCAACTATGGTTCAGCTTAGCTGTTATATTAAGAGAGCAAAGTCCATGTGATAGCTCATTCTAAATAACACAAAATTCTTCCATAGGAAGTAGTGGTTGCCAGACTAAATGATACAAACAAGAAATTTTATCAGTGCCATACAGATTCTAAGCTCTTCTGGAAAGATTGAAATGTCTATATTAGTTAATTTGCTTTGTGGATGACTTTTGTACAATAATTATGCAAGAAATGACCTCAGAACAGGTGAAAGTCTTCAACATTGTATATTAAAATATATTTTTTAAATATGTTATTTATCTATATTTGGAAGGCACATTTACAGAGAAGGGGAGTCAGAGAAAAAGATCTTCCATCCACTGGCTCACTACCCAAATAGCTTCAATAGCCTGAGTTGAGCTGATCTAAATCCAGGAGCCAGGAACTTTCTGTGGGTCTTCCACATAGGGAAGGGGCCAACAACTTGGACTATCTTTCTCTGCTTTTCCAGGCCATAAGTATGGAGCTGGATTGCAAGTAGCACCGCCAGTACACAAACTGGTCCTATATGGGATGCTGGCACTGCAGGAAGAGGATTAGCTTGCTATGCCATAACACTGACCCCACATAGTAAAAATATCTTTACAAAAAATAATTAAGTAGAAATGAACCCTGTGATGAAACAGTGTGGTTTAAACATTCAGTATGATAGAATTACTAAGCAATGCTGTTCTTATCAATTTTAGAAAAAATGTGAGAATGCAAATAGATCCTTAACATTGTCCATGTCTATGACAGGGGGTTATATGAAAACAATCACTTTTATACCAAGTGCAACAACCAGTCTATCATCTTGAGCAAGGACCTGCAGGGCCCCCTGAGTCAGGATGTCATTCATTGGTGCTGCATTGCAAAATAGGTATGGATTCTTAGTATACTAGGGTTGTTAATTATTTTTGCAAATCAAAATAAAGAATACCCATTTAAATTAGAATTTATTTTTTAAAGATTTATTTATTTATTTTTAATGGAAAGGCAAATTTGTAGAGAAAGGGAAAGATAGAGAGAAATATCTTCCATCTGTTGGCTCACCCCCTAAGTGACCACAATGGCCAGAACTTAGAAACCAAGAACCAGGAGCTTCTTTTGGGTCTCCCATGCAGTTGAAGGGTCCCAAGGCTTTGGGCCATCCTCTGCTGTTTCCCCAGGCTATGAGCATTGAGGTTGATGAGAAGTGGAGCAGCCGAGACATGAATTGGTGCCCAAATGGGATGCCTGCACTTGGAGGAAGACCCAACTGAACCATTGAGATGCCCACTAAGCTTGAATTTATGATAGATCACGAATATTTTCAGTGAAAACATGTGCGAGATATTTTACAGGGTATACTTAGACTAAAACATTATTTGTAATGAATTTGACATTTAAATGTAAGTAGGCATCCTATATTTTACCTGCCAAACCTAGAGAGTAGAAACTGTCAGGTGCGAGTAAAGGTACGAGCATCTTTGGACAGGTGCTACTTACCAATCAGTGTAATTTCTTTCTATATCTTAAAAGCTAGAATACAACAAGCACCAATACCTTCAATTACCAGTGCAACTGTGCTAGGGCACACTAGTTGAAGGTCAATTCCTATTTCCTATGCTATTTTTCTACATATGTCACTCCAGAAACTAGGCTGTTCACAGAATAAATGGTAGCTTAAACAAATGTGCCTGAAATATGACCGATAGGATGGCTTGCTAAAGGCCAAAATATCAAATAGGAAATCCACTAATAGTGCAACCTATTTTTTTCTCCATAATTTACTACAAGTCAGAACATACATATTCCCAAAATAAAAATATTATATAAAGAACTGAGTTCATATAAGTCACGCAATTTGGTGATGAGAATTGTCTTTTTTCAAAGGCTTTCTGCAAGAATTCAGCGAATTAAATCTTACAAAATGAATAGGATATTACCTGGCACATAGCAGAAATTCAATAATGTCAGCCATGAATTCATTAACAAATTCCTATCTGAATGCATTTTTCTAATTGTTACCTTAAGCTTATGATCACAGGACATAACTATCTTCTAATATTTTCAGAGTAATTATCTAAACATACTCTAAGGTTAACCTTCCAGTTTCCCTTCCCACCACTCTAGAAAAAAGAGAGTAAGCATGCTCCAATTCGTGTGTTATATTTAACATTTTGCTGCACAATGAGGTTAGTTTAATCCTCAAAAAAAAATCTAGCTCTTTCAGCCATAAACATTGGATAGGAAAGGGGTGTCTTATGTAGCATTTTCCATTCACCGCCCCCCCCCCCGTCACATCTAGTTTACAATGAGGAAATAAACTCCTACTGCTTTGTACCATAACATTGTTCAACATTTGAATTTATATTTTCTAAGGGATATGTACATGGGATTCCCATATATAAAATCATTGCAAGGATAAATGCTGTGACTAAAACTAAAGCGGAGACCAGGATGGGGTAGGTCCTGAGAACAGCCTCTAAAGCTGCCCAGAGCCTCTTCAGTCCCGAATGACGTTCCTGTTATAATTCACCTCTGGTTCTTCTAGTAAAAACACAGATCACAGAAGCTCTGTTTCTCTATAAAGTGAACAAGCTGTTTTATGATGAATGTCCCTGAGTCCTAGGAAGTCCAGCACTTTGGTAAATGGCTTTACCCTTAGGACATTGTTAGAAAAAACAGCTGGGAAATTACTCAAAGGACATAGATGCTATTATTTCAGGTTAGAGAAGGAAGAATAACTGTGGATGACAATAATTCATTTCAATGAGCACCAAAAGACTGACACTTTCAGTCAAAATCTGACTACATAAACTTTGGCTTTCAAACAATAAGGAATTTGGATAGTACTATAGTGGCATGGATGTTATCAAAGTGAAAAACTACAAAGAACTTCTTCAGGAAAACATGTAATACTCATCTACAGTTTCCTCCTTTGAATGGTGGTTTGGACTGGTCCCTTTATTGTAGAATTAAACAAACAAACAAACAAACAGTAAAAAATTATCCACAGTTTTAACTGTTTCTGGTAGTATATTCTTGATGAAGGGCTTATAAAAAACAAAATGAAATCTTTTCACTTAATTATTCATTCTACAAATATCCATTGATTGCCAAATAGCTTGACACTATGTAAGACACTGAAGGGATAGCATTAAACTAAACACATCCTAATATTCTTGCTAGTGGCTCTCAGTCCCCATGTTTAGATTTTTTAATAGGCCCATTCCATACTGTAATCATCTAAATTGAAGTATGCAAACAAGGACTCCCAAAATATCAAAAATAAAGACCTACAGAACAAGGATAAAAGATACTCTGAGGGTGAAGTTGATAAATGCTTAAATTCATTTATAACACAAACTATATTTCATTTGTAACACAAACTCAAACCTCAGCAATATATAGTTTATCTCAGGTTGCTTAACACAGAAAAAGGATGTTAGGATAAAGAGTGTTTGTATATTCTTTAAGATCAAGGAATGAAGCACTTTACTGTTAGGTTCAGATAACTTAATCCTATCCCAATAGAGTTTCAACATATTTTAAATAACCTACGAAAAGAAATTCTCTGGAGTCACTGGGAGCATAAACCTTGTCATGCACATTGTGTATGACACAGATTTATCCATGTACCGAATGGTCACATGCACACTTGGCATATGATCATCTCTGAAGGATTC